GTGTTGAAAGACAAATACCATATGATCTCACCTTCGACAGGAAGCTAAACAACAAAACACACAAGCAAGCAAAATATAACCAAAGACACTGAAATAGAGAACAGACAGACAGGGACCAGAGGGGGCAGGGGAGGGAATTTAAGGGGAAAAGGGGATTTGGAGGAACAACTATGGACACAAGGACAAGAACTAAGGGGGGTGGAAATGGGAGGGAGATGGGGAGCACAGGGAGGGTTAGGCTGGGATGGGAGAAATAGACAGAAAACTGTATTTGAAAAATAAGTAAATAATTTTTTTAAAAAAGTGAGTGTAGAACACCATTTACTGAGGAAACTATCTTTTCTCCACTGAGTTTTATTCTTGTCTTCCCTGTAAAATATCAGTTTACTATATATGCTTGAGATATATAGTAAACTGATATTTTATAAATATTTATAAGAATAAACAATTTCACAAATATTTATTAATTTTATAAATATTTTAATAAAATATTTTATAAAATATTATTCATGTTTTTATAAATAAACTCAGAAATAAACTGAGCTTATTTCTCAGTTGTTGACACTGATCCATTGACCTATGCATTTATTTTTATGCCACTACCATACAGTTTTAATTACCATACCTTTGTACTATAGTTTTAAATCTGGAAGTATGATGCCTCTGGCTTTATTCTTTCTCACGATGGCTTTGATTATTCAGGATCTACTGTGCTCTCAAAGACATTTTAGGATTTTTTTCTAATTCTGTAAAAATGACATTGAATTTTTTTTAATTTATAGGGATATCATTGCTTCATAAGATTACATTGCTTTCAAGTATACATTTCTATGGTACATGATCTGTATAAATCATTTTGTTCCCACTACCAAAAGTCAAATGACACTGCAATTTTGATAGGGATTGAATTGGATACATAGTTGGCTTTGGACTCTATAACATGAACATTTTTAAAATACTAATTAATTATTCTGTCCATGAACATGGGATAAAATTTCATTTGTGTCTTCTCCAACTTCTTTCTTAAAAGTCTTGTAGTTTTCATTGTATAGATCTTTTACTGCCTTAGTTAAATTTATTCGTATTTTATTATTTTTGATGCTAGCATGAATGAGATATTTTCATTTATTTCTTTTTCATTTTCATTGCGATTTTATAAAAATGCAACTGATTTGTCTATATTGATTTTATATTTTAACTAAGTATATTTTATTGATTATGCTATTACAGTTGTCTCATTTTTTTCCTTGGCCCTCCCTCTGCCTGATACCCCCATTCCCTCCAGCAATCTCCCTGCCTTACTTCATGTCCATGGGTTGTATCTATAAGTTCTTTGGCTTCTCCATTTCCTATACTATTCTTAACACCCCCTTGTTTATTTTGTACCTACCAATTGTACTTCTTATCCCCTGTATGTTTTTCCCCATTCTCCTCCCTCCCCCTCTGTAGTATTATGATCTTGACTATTTTGGCCCCTGTAGTAGACCACTCTGCCTGGTTTTAGGAATTATATCTCTACCCCTTATGGCTAAGGGTGAGAGATGACCTTTGGAATGTGAGCCGCAGGAGACAAAGCCTGTCTCCGGTAGCAAACACCTCAGTTCCTCTCCCTGCCCCAAGAACTTGGTCGGAAGTCAATGATGGGTAAGACCCCTCACAGTGGGGGGCAACCTAAGCCAGACTCGATCACCTGGGAGGCCTTCATAGAAGGACTCAGGGGGCTGCAACAAAGAGCAATAGATTCTTGCCCCCCGGCTTTGACATAGCCCGAGTCCCCAGGTTCTCTGGGAGAAGCACTTCCTGGCTCTAATCCTCTTAAGCCTGAATACCTGATGGGGAGAGGTGTAGCTCCTTGCCTCGCCAGAGTGTGCCCTGGGGAAAAATCTGGCATCACAAAGACTTGCTGATAAACCTGTGAAATATGCTGTGCTAAGAGTGCTTTCATTTATATGATAAGGGTCTGAGAGGAAATGGGTGTGTCTCCCAAAGTTTCTGCAACTCACTTCCTGACAGACACTGACTCAAACTCTGAAACCCTCAGATTTCTTTGAAATGTTATCTACTGTTTGATCCTTGCCACCCTGTATTCCTGTGTACTACAACCCAATAAAAGGCTATGGGGGAGGGCGCTCAAGGCCTTTTTCTCCTCGGAGAAACTGGCCACAGCCCACTCCTCCTCCCCAAGCAGATCTCAGCATGTCTTGGCCATATTCATTCATTCACGCGTGTCCGTGGCACTGGGGAGGCCCCTCGTGAAGAAGTCACCCCCACAACCCCTCAATGATGATAACACTCCATGTGATCTCCATTTGTATGATTCTGTTCCTGTTCAGTTTGCTTATTATTTTTTGATACAGGTTCTGATAGTTGTGAATTTGTTGTCATTTTACTATTCATAGTTTTGATCTTTTTCTTAAATAAATCCTTCTAATATTTTGTATAAAAAGGTCTCGGTGATGATGAACTCTTTTAGCTTTACCTTGTCCGGGAAGCACTTTATCTGCGCTTGCATTCTAAATGATAGCTTTGCTGGGTAGAGTAATCTTGGGTGTAAGCCCTTGCTTTTTATCACTTTGAATACTTCTTGCCAGTCCCTTCTTGCCTGCAAGGTTTGTTAAGAAATCAGCTGATAGTCTTATGGGAACTCCCTTGTATGTAACTCTCTTCTTTTCTCTTGCTGCTTTTAAGATTCCCTTTTTATCTTTAAGCTATTCTGCAACATTACTGAATTCATTGTTTTGTTCTGACATGTTTTTTGGTTCAGTATTTAGGGTTTTCTATCTATTAGATCATATCATCTGCAAATAATGACAACTTTATTTTCTGATTTTGATGCCTTATATTTCTATTATGTCATTTACTTCCTTTCTACTTTGGATGCCTTTTAATTCATTATCTCATCTTACTGCTCTAGCTTGGGCTTCTAACACTATTTTGAATAAGCGTTGTGAGTGGATAACCTTGTCTTCTCAACCTAGAGGAAAAACTTTCAAACTTCCAAATATATGTGGATGTTATATATGTTCATTGTGGTATGTTCCTTCTGTACCCAATTTGTTGAGAGTTTTTTGTCATGAAAGGATGTTGTACTTTGTCAAATGATTTTTCTGTATTTATTGAGATACTCATAAAATTTTTATCTTTCAATGTATGTCACATATATTAATTTGCATATATTGAACAACCATGGTTCCCAGGGATAAGAATGTAGATATTGAAACAGAGAAAATGACAGGAGCAAGATTCCATGTGCAGTAGTATGTCATTTACTTAGGAGATAAAAATAATTCATTTTTGCAATCATTTAGGGCTCTCAGAAACTACTGAATTAACTTGGCCCAGATGTGGAAGATTCTTCAGCAATTGAAAAGCTCAACAATCTATATATAATTTAGCCAAGGACCTGGTCATACTGAGCGTCACCGAAGGGTCATATTTTATAAATACCATAATGGCTAACACTCAGGAATACTTTTTTAATGGTGCACAGATTTAGTCATGGTCATAAAAAGTAAAGATCCAAGAATATGATGACCTGTGTTCTGAAATATTATGTAATTCCAAACTTCTCTGTGAATTATACAAGCTGAACTTTTTCTAACGCAGAACTTGAATAATAAAATAATATTTCCATATCATTAAAAATTAAAATTCCAAATTACATTGCATGAGTCTGAATAATTAATACTCATGTCATAAATATATTCAGGTATTTATCAAAAATTTCAGGTGAGTTAAAAATGAAAACTACCAGTCTCTATCTAAATGATGTTCAGTGCATTTAAGGGATGTGACTATACTCACATAAATTTAAAATTAAACACGTCTCTTTAAGCCATGAAAAGTTATCTAAAGATTAAAAATAAAAAATTCAGCTTGGGTATTAGGAAAGTCTTCTTAGAATGGATAAAATTTGATTAAAATTGACAGGTAGAGAAGAGAAACAAACAGATAAGACAATTGTATTAGGTCTCTGAATCGTGATAAGGCTGAGGTTTAATAGAAAAGAGTTAATCAAAACACTGAAAAGTAGACAACCCCCCCCCCCCCCTCCCCCTAAAAAAATAAATCAAAAAAAAAAAAGTAAGACTAGAAGGCCATGTAAACATAAGTGAAAATAACAGGAATAGAGAACAGGTGGACAGTGACCAGAGGGTAGAGGGGAGGGTAATTTTAGGGGAAAAAGGGAAAGATTTATAGGAACTAGTATAAAGGACACATGGACAACAAATAAGGGGGGGTGGAAATTGGAGGGAGGTGGGGAGTGGTCCACATGGGGGGTGGACTGGGATGGGAGTAAAAGACAGAAAACTGTACTTGAATAACAATTAAATAAATTTAAAAATAATAAAAATAACAATAATAATAATACTAGGAAAAGAAAAAACAGAAATTCATATTTAATTTAATTTCATAAATATCTGTCCACATGATTAATTGATTTTTGTTGAAATTCAGTTCTGCATATATAAAGCCCTTTGTAAAATATAAAACAATAAAAACACACCTAAAACTAGAGGAAGGCAAAATTTTTAAAAAAGGAGACCAACTCTGCAGCAGAGGGCTTATTGCTTCTCCTCATCTTTCTCCTTAGTCTCATTTTTGAAACCCTTGCTCTTCTCTTTCACCCAAAGAGCTCCTAGTTTTTCAGCCACTTTCTCAGCACTATCATTTTTTGCCAGACCCTGCGTGGTACAAACCTGGGACACATTCTCTGTAGAACAGGCTTCTGTTCTACCTATGCCCTCAGAGTCACCCACATAAGCTTGCATTCATGCATAGGACCTCTGTCAGTCTGCTCAGTTACATCCGGTTACTTGCTAGGGCAGCCATAACAGGCCCTGAGTAAACAGCAGATTCTGAGGACCTCTCCAAGCCCCTTCAGCCTCTGTAGTGCTGTAGGCAGACACCATCCTTTGACCACCTGCCAAAGGGCTGTAAGCACAGCCCAGTGAACATGCATTAGGAGCCCCGATGGCCAGCTCACTCCCTAAAAAGGTTCCTGAATGCCCAGATAGCTGTATCACCCTTGACAGGCAAGGTAGTCATAGAATCCCAGAATGTTTCTGTGGCAGACAGAAAAAGCACCCACTTGGGACTGCAGTTGGGTGCAAAGTGAGTCAGCATTAAGAAAAAAATTTATACTGGAAAAGGTAATCATAAAAAGCTTATTATAGTTATTTTTCTCTTTGGCAATGTTGTAACATTTGATTATTCCTATTATCATTATTATTACTACATTATACATGGCAAGGGACAAATCTACTTTTAGGCAGATATGACACTTATGTGACTTATGACATGTCCTTTTGGTTTTTATTCCTCTGCGCACATCTCAGGGTCAAAAGTAGACTTTATATGTATTTTTCCCTATGAAAAACTGATATTTTATGAAGTTCTTTGTTGTGTACCTAATTTGTTTACCATTTAAATTTATTGCTTTTTTTCCTTGAGCACAGACTTTTCAAAGAATGTGGAATCTTCAAAGGTTGATAGATGTAACTCTCACTGATGAGAGAAACAAACACAAACAGATTGGCTGACAATCTTCAGCATATTTAACAAGGGAATCTGGTGAAAGTGAAAAGCAGGTTTATCTTCATAAAAAAATGAAGGTGGCAGGTTCATTAGCCCTGCTCCTTTTGATTTAAACCATAAAATTAAATAAATTACAATGCAAAACCATTATATAAGTTTTACTTGGTTTATCAAAAATCAGTACATCTACTTAAAAGAGCAGATGGTGACACTGTGATTGTGGACAGAACTCTCCTAACCTAATTGGGAATGCTTCGGGAGGGAAAAAAGAGACAGGTGTAATATACAGCTACCAAAATTTATATTTCTCCCTAGGTAGCCATCATGCACATCTGTTCTTAGATATCAAGAAAAATACATGATTTCTTTAGCTTCTTTATTAGCAAGTTCATCAACTACTTTGGAGATTGAGATGGGATATTATGAGAAATGTGTTTGAGTTTGATGGTCTCTTAATCAACCAAAAATAAAGCATAATGAAAATTACAGTATTTTGGAGACAGTTTCTACCACCAGAAATCTGGGGGAGTATAAAACATGTAAGAACATATTTGAGGGAATATAAGAACTATTTGGGGCAATAGTAAAAATATCAATAATTTGCATCATAAATTGCTTATGTGGTTCATAAAAAGCCTCTGCTAGGCATATGCAGATTGTTAGCACTAAATTTGATCATTATGTCTACAAAAAAATTACATGATTTTATTTTGGGATGGGTCAGTCAAATAATTTTACAGTTGAGTAAACCAAGCCTCAAGGAGAATTAACAGTTTTCAAATGTTATGTAGCTTAAGAGAGAAAAATTGAGTACTTAAAATATGTCAGTATCAGCAAGATTTTGCATGTTATTGCCATAATTTCTGATTCTGTCTGGCTTAAAGAGTTGAGATAGTTATTATCATACATTACAAAAAAAAAGCTTTAGAGAGGGAGGCAGAGAATGCAAGAATGGTTAATTCAGCATCTCCACAGTGTTATCAAAGATCAAGATACTTTACATATCTCCATATTATGTCATCTTAGATGGGACAACTTGGTCCTTAAGATGATTCCCCTAATGGTCACAAGATATCTGAGCTACAGAAAGCCTCTGCAGAAACTGGATGCATTGGACCATCCAGTGAAATATAGAAAATCCTTTTTGGCTAGTACTAAAGCCCTATCTTTCAGTCCAGTTTGGCCAACTTAGTCACTATATCCATCTTTGAAAAAAATAGAAGTCAACAAAATGCTAAGTAGAATAAAACAATACAGCATTCAACAAGTATATATTATGGGTCAAACTCATGTGTGTATATATATAAAATATAATATTTCATATACATTTAACATATAGGAATACCTATGCACTCATATGGAATGGAAAATATTTAGACAACAAAGAACATGAACTATATTCTCTAAAACCCTAGTATGCTATACCATCTGATGTTGTGTTTAAAAATATAAACTTGATGGGAAAGATTCAGTGGTAATTATTTTATTATTGTTGTGTTTTAATAAGAATAAATTATAGAATATTACATTAGGTAAAGATCTTAAAGTTAATTTACTCAAAACAACTATCTCATTCTTTGTTTAAAATCTATCACCTCACACTTGTCAGAATGGCTATCATCAATAAATCAACAAATGTTGGTAAGGATGTGGAGAAAATGGAACTGTCATGAATTTCTAATGAGAATGCAGATTGGTACAACCATTGTGGAAAAGCATGGAATTGCCTAAAAAAATTAAACATGAAGCTTCTGGGAATATTTCCACTTCTGAGAATATGTCCTAAGAAATCCAAAGCACTAATTCATTCCAAAACCAGATAAGGACACAATAAAGAAAGAGAACTTCAGGCCAATATCACTGATGAACATAGACACTAGAATCCTCAACAAAATATTGGCAAATCGCATCCAACAATATATCCAAAAGATCATACACCATGACCAAGTGGGATTCATCCCAGGGATGCAAGGATGGTTCAATATCTGCAAATCAGTAAATGTAATACATCACATAAACAAAAGCAAAGACAAAAACCACATGATCATAACAATAGAGGCGGAAAAAAGCTTTTGATAAGGTACAACACCAATTTATGATAAAAACACTCAGCAAAGTGGGAATAGAGGGAGCATTCCTGAACACAATAAAGGCCATATATGAGAGACCTACAGCTGACATCATACTCAATGGGCAAAAACTAAAAACTTTTCCACTAAGATGAGGAACAAGAAAAGGATGTCCACTTTCACCACTTCTATTCAATATATTTTTGGAAGTTTTGGCCACAGTGATTAGGCAAGAAAATGAAATAAAAGGCATCCAAACAGGAAAGGAGGAAACAAAACTGTCAGTGTTCGCAGATGACATGATGGTGTACATGGAAAATCCTACAGACTCTACCAAATAACTGCTCGAACTAATTAATGAATTTGGCAAAACAGCAGGATACAAAGTCAATATCCAGAAATCAAAGGCATTTTTGTGTACTAACAATGAATCAGCAGAAAAAAAATCAAGAAAAAATCCCATTCGATATAGCAAAAAGAAAAATAAAATATCTGGGAATAAACCTAACCAAGGAGGTAAAAGACCTGTATGCAGAAAACTTCACAGCACTGAAGAAAGAAATCAGGGAAGACACAAACAAATGGAAACATATACCTTGTTCATGGATTGGAAGAATTAACATCATCCAAATGTCCATATTACCCAAAGCAATACATAGATTCAATGCAATACACAGATTCAATGCAATACCTATTAAAGTACCAATGGCATATTTCACAGACATAGAACAAGCACTTCAAAAATGTATATGGAATGATAAATGACACTGAATAGCAGCTGCAATTTTGAGAAAGAAGAACAAAGTAGGAGGGATCACAATACCTGATATCAAACTGTATTACAAGGCCACTGTAATCAAAACAGCCTGGTACTGGCATAAAAACAGGCACATAGACCAATGGAAAAGAACAGAGAGCCCAGAAATATACCCAACTCTCTACAGTCAATTAATATTCAACAAAGGGGGCAGTAACATAAAATGGAGTAAAGATAGCCTCTTCAACAAATGGTGTTGGGAGAACTGGACAGCTACATGCAAAAAAAATGAAACTTGAGCACAAATTTGCACCATACACCAAAATAAATTCAAAGTGGATAAAAGACTTAAATATAAGCTGTGACACCATTAAAGTCCTAGAGGAAAACATCAGCAAGAAAATCTCAATATTTCACGCAGCAACATTTTTATCGATATGTCCCCTAGAGCAAGGAATATAAAAGAAAGAATAAACAAATGGGATCTCATCAAAATAAAAAGCTTCTGCATGGCTAAAGAAAACAGTATTAAATTAAAAAGACAACCAACTGTATGGGAAAACATACTTGCCAATGATACCACAGACAAAAGTTTAATCTCCAAAATATACAAAGAACTTACATGACTCCACTCTAAGAAGACATCTAACCCAATTAAAAATGGGCAAAGGACTTGAACAGACATTTCTCCAAGGAGGACATACAGAATATCCAGAGACACAAAGAGATGCTCAATATCATTATCTATCAGAGAGATGCAAATTAAAACCAGAATGAGATAGCACTTTACACCGGTCAGGATGGCTATCATAAACAAAGCAACTAACAACAAATGTTGGAGAGGTTGGGGGAAAGGGGGACCCTAGTTCACTATTATGGCTCAAGAAGGGGTTGCAGACTGGTACAACCATTATGGAAAACAGTATGGAATTTTCTCAGAAAAATAAAAATCGACCTGCCTTTTGACCCAGCAATTCCACTGCTAGGATTATATCCTAAGAATCCTAAAACATCAATTTCAAAAAACCCATGCACCACAATGTTCATAGCAGCACAATTTACAATAGCCAAGAGTTGGAAGCAACCTAGGTGCCCATCAGTAAATGAATGGATCAAAAAATTGTGGTACATATACACAATGGAATTCTATGCAGCAGAGAGAAAGAAGGAGCTTCTACCCTTTGCAACAACATGGATGGGACTGGAAAGCATTATGCTAAGTGAAATAGGCCAGGTGTTGAAAGACAAATACAATATGATCTCACCTTAACAGGAAGCTAAACAACAAAACACACAAGCAAGCAAAATATAACCAAAGACACTGAAATAGAGAACAGACAGACAGGGACCAGAGGGGACAGGGGAGGGAATTTAAGGGGAAAAGGGGAGGGATTTGGAGGAACAAATATGAAGGACACAGGGATGAGAATTAAGGGTGGTGGAAATGGGAGGGAGGTGGGGAACATGGGGCCGGGTGGTTTGGGATGGGAAAAATAGACAAAAAACTGTACTTGAAAAATAACTAAATAAAATTATTATTTTTTAAATCCAAAGCACTAATTCAAAAGAATATATGCACCCCTATATCCACTGTAGCACTAATTGGAGTAGCCAAGATCTAGAAGCAGCCCATCAATGGGTAAAAATGCTGTGGAACATTTACACAATAAAATACCACTTGGATGTTAAAAAAAAAAAAAGAAATCTTTTCTTTTGTAACAATTTTAATGAGCCCGGGGGATATTATGATAAGTGAAATAA